AGAAAATAGACATGTTTATGATTTGAGAAGTTGCTTGGCTTTGCTGTCGTTGGCTGTGACAACCAGCCACTCGCGAATACCTCGCTTTCCTGATGTGGACTGCATGACCTTGGACTTTTTGGAGACAGCGCCTGGGCCCTTTTTCCCCTCCTCCAAGAATCGGTGGTTTATTTGATCCAATATGCCATAGGCATAAAATGTCCAATGACGCTGTGATTGGCGGGTGGTCGTCAAAGCCTCAACTGCCCTAATGTAGAGGTCCTTCCGCACAAGGCAGCAAAAGCGATTCCTGACGAAAAGGTGAATCAGCGCTGACAATTGACGGAATTTTCACACTTCGCAGCACTATAGAATTAATAACATCGCATTCCTCTCTCTATTTTTGTGCCCATTTCGTCTGTTCGGCGTGGCTATCAAACCATTCACTAATCTGACACTGACACAGTGATCGCCACTTTGACCTCAATCAGTTGGCTCTGACCATTGAGACTTTCAAGACTTAAAATGTCAACTCTGAAGTCGAAAATGGAAACAAATAGTGTGGAGGAAGGATTGCAAAATCTATTTATTGAGATGTGTTGATGTTCATGTTCGAAGATCAAGTCGTTATCAAGGTCATCGACAGCAATGGAAGTGGCCACTGTCAGCAGCACTCACCATAGTTTCCATCGGACACCCTAAGTTTAAAATGTGGTGGACTTGGAAGCACTGGTAGATTTGTGTATTTAATAGTTGGAAGAGAAAAGAGTCCTCCGATCACTGACAACCGAGTGGAAAGTGTGAGTGGTCAAGACTTTTCACTCCACTAAATTGACAAAAGCAAAGAGAAGGTGCTTTAGTAGTTGTAGCTACTGAAGCACCATGTCTGGATTGCTGATGCTGAAAAGTAGTGAGTAGTAGTACGCACTAAATTTATTTTTATTGGCTTCCACCATTCACACAATCCCATTGTCGCATATAACGCCGCTCTTTATGCAGGACAAGGTTGTCGCCTTTTGGTGCCCTCAGCTCAAACAAATGCCAACTCAGCAGGTAAAACATGTGCCGTGAAATGTGTTGCATGAATTAATAATTGAAGACAGTTGTCAAGGCAAGACAATTTTACTTCGGTTTGCTCGACCTCAAGACTGTTGCGTTTCCAATCTTATCGAATTGCATTCCATCTCAGTTCATCATCTTGGTTTGAAAAATAAGGCTCCTCAGCTTTAAGGTACCACGATTTCATTAAGAAAAAGAAACTGTGATCGTATTAAGTGTGCTTACAATCCGGTTGGGCTGTTGAAAAGATGCTTGACTTTGAGTGTGAGTAGCTGATGGGCGCTTTTATAAGAACCACTGAGTTGCTTTGTTCGGAGTCCTTCATAAAACGGCGTCTTACACGCTGTGGATTATGTCGCGTTTATAGCCACATCTCCCTCCTCCCTGCTGTTTGCCATTTTTTTTCTGTAGACCGAATAGCTCAACATCTCTCTCCCATTTTCTCTTTAACTGTCCTGAATGGGACAGCCTTTGTTGTACAGATGCTAACACGGAGAAGTCTGTAGTAATAGTTTACTCCTTAGTGTGGTGTAACTTGTTCCAAGTTGGCTAACAAACTGCCACAATTCATGTCCTTCACCTCTACATTTCCTCCATGTGAGTAATTTAAATTAAAAAAAAATACAATGGAAGTCTGCGTGATAAATATATGTGAAGAAAGGAGACGATGACTGGATTTAGACTTCATGAACGATGAGTTCGAACAAAAGAATGCCTGCCAAAGCAACAGAAAGTGACATGGCAATGGTGGCAATGAAGGGTGACCAAAGTCTCCTTTGATCCAAGTAAAAGAACACTCCAATGAGGGCAAAAATTGCAGCAACAGTGGTTATAACAGCAGAGGCAATCTCACCCCAACTGTTTCCTTTAAACAGGAGGAGGATGAGAAAGACGCCTGCAATGAGAATGAGGAGACCAGCAACGAGAAGAAGAGCACCAGTCACTTTGTTCACTTTGTTTTGACGACACTTAGGCCCCAGAATGCTTCCTCCACACTCCCAGTCATTGTATCCTATTGCCACAAAGAAGAGAATGGCTGCTGCCAGTGCAATGATAGTGTAGACGATTTTGCGATCCATCTCTTGTCACCTGCTGTCACTCGGTAGACACAACTTCGTGAATAATGTCAACAGGGTGTCGTGTGTTCACTTTAATAGAGCAAGGCGGCTTCATCCAACTCCTCTTTTATTGGATTATTGCAAAGGACCTGTGTTTTTGTGCATCACCTTTGCGACATTCTCCTTACAAACGCACCTAGCAAACTAAAAAATGACACATTGCATTTTTAAGGTTATTTTGAGACTGATCGAGTCAAAGCGTGTTGGTTTTTATTTAAAATACGACAGCATTGATGAGCCAATTGGCGTTGGAAGGGAACGGTACCCATCTTCCCGCCTCATCTCACTTCCTCCACCCAAAACTAGGCGCCACTTTCTAACTTTTATTGTTGTGGCACACAAAAAGAAGGCAAATTTAATTTTCTTTTCAATTGAAGGACGATTTTTAGGTTTAACACCCATTGCCACCACACGACTATCAACTGTGAACCGCGTCTTCAATTCTCGCTCTATTCGATATGTTGTTGTGGGGTTTTAATGGTTTGCATAAAGGGACGAGGGTGCAACCTCATGTGATGTGAAGGCCTTTTATGGTGAAATAGCGGTTTGTTTGGCATTCCAGGTTCCGTTGTCTGGCAGCACTGTTGGAGGTAGTCGTCACCGCAGGCCTCACCAGCTTGCAGACACAAAAGGCCAATTTTTAGTAAAATCTGCTCTTATAACTTTGGCATTTTTGGCTGTAGGGAAGAACCAGAGAACTGTGGTGCATGTTTTTCCAATCGCCAACAGACACAAAGTCGTAAAAATTTAGTAATGGAAAGTGCTTTTTGGAACTACTAAACAGCAGAAGGTTTTACATTTGTGTCGATCATTTCCCAGGTTCCTCAGGCCCCAACTTAAGTCACTCCATCTTCTCTTTATGACTGGTGAATGATGAAAAATACTCTGAAGGAAAAGTAAAACTTCTGGGAGTTTGAGACCACCTTCTAAGCCAACTTCCCCAATTCCATGCCAAATCACTATTTTTGGTTTCGTAAGATCTCACAACATTACGACCATCAGAGCTGAAATGGACATCAACTGCAAAACACCTGTCAATGACCGAAGATTTTACCACTTTATACCTCCCCCGGAACCACAATTTTAATCCTCAACACTATTGGTTAGAAGCCTTTAAATTTACAAACTTAAAGTCAGCGTTTAAAGTGCTTCTACATGATGGCATTTGAGAAACCGGTGGACCGAGTACGAGATTAGCCGCAAAACGAGCAATGCATGTGTCCCCATAGACAAGTCTCTGAAGCTTTTTTTACCTCTGGATGAGATGGGATTTGTTACTATTTAAAAAAAATCCTACCAAGTATCCTCGGTCCTCCGCCATGTCCGACGAATTGCTTATCGAAAATGACGAGCGCTGGAGGTGGAATTGCACTTGCTCAGGTTGGATGAAGAGTCACAGACTTAATGATTAAGCAGTCATTCTGTCAGAATCTCGAGGTTTTTTTTTGTATTTATACAGTAAACACAGTTGGCCCAAGAGGTGTCTGATGGCAATTTTCAGACAACTTCTTGCACTCATTCATGCGAATTACACTTTTTTGCCCGATGTTTTCGCTCCCATCCCTAGCGTTTGAGTGTGGGAAGTCGACAGAGAGGGTAGAATTGTTCCACGGTGGAAGGGTTCGTCTTCTTTGCTTCGTTCTTCTCCACTCTTATCATGCCAAAGAGAATCATTTGAAACGATGTTGTTGTCATCGTGTTTATCGCAAGTGCAATAGTTAAGATAACCGGCCACCTTCCATCTCCACCATTCCAACTTTGCTGACATTCTCCGGCTACAAATCTAACATTCGCTAACATTAAATACTACCAATACGTTCCGTTCCCTTTGGTAAGGCCAATTTTTTTTCTGCCTCTACGATCTGTTCTTTCGTTTTTTTTCTATAATTTGTCCCCACTTTGCTTCTTCTTCCGGGTTAGTGATTCCAGGAGAAAGGCGCCCTGAAGTGCTTCAGAAGAATCGCGAGAGACCCGTCTACAAGTGATAAACGAATCATTCTCACTTCATGGTGGTTGCAGACCCGCGAAGATGAGCAAGTGTCAAGAGTTGATCATTCAATCCTAAACGCTTAGAAACCCTAAATGTCCGTGTCTCACGGCAACTAAATCATTTTGCATTGCTTTAAGTCGCTTCACCTCAAGCGACCAACAGCGGTGCCTCCGCACACCAGTCTGGCCAGGCCGACGGTTCTGTGACTTCCAATTGAAGGGATGAGTGTGCCACTTTCTCATTTTGTTTTGCAAAACTATGCAGCCAAAGCAGTTTTTATGGACTGAGGTGGTTGGATTTCTCACTACCTCTTGTTCACAAGTGCCCTTAACTTACTCTAGTCTTCCTTTTGTACAGCTAAGATTGTGCCAGTGCACAAAATCATGTCTGTAGATTTAGTCAAGGTCCCGAAAGATTGTCCTTAAAAGTTCGCCAGTATAAGACTTGCGTACGGAACTCGGTGCCGGTAATTGAGAGGAACGAGCCGAATCTACTAACGACAAACCAACCAAAGTGACGAAGTGACCATCTTTGTAAAGTTGCCAGTGAAATTATTTATGTGAATGGTTAATGTAGGTTCTCGAGATTCGAATGTTTGCTCAAATCTGTAGATATGAAGTACTGCCATTTGGCAGTTTAGTTTTGATTCTACAGGACACTGAAATGATCGCGCTGCATTTACTCGTCTCAACATGGGCTTGAAATGTGTGCAACCTGGATGGCTGGCCGAGACCATGCTCCTTGATCCCATCTTAAAGATTTCTTTTTAAATGCCCTTAAGTGACTGACCACAAAGATTGAATTAAAAGGTTGTGCCATTGTCAATATGCTGTTGACGTTCAGTAGCGACAAACTGGAAGAAGGTGAGATGTGTTGGATTGCTCGAGAGTCGACATGTGGGGATGAATTCGCATTAACCTTCTTAAAAACATTAAAAGTTCCATTATGCCTGATGTGGTTGTGACAATCCTTCACCCTTGATACTGAATTCGCACAAGTAGTAGTGCAGGCGTTAAGTAAAGCAGGGACGATGAGGTTCCTCAAAACAAGGTGGATGTCACTTCAATACTGACAAAGAGCTCGATGATGGGACAGCTAAAAGGACGATTCAGGCTAACCGAAAAGTCATTGTGGAGCTGTCAATAAAGTGTCACCTTGCTCACCCAGAGGCTCTGCTTCCCGAGCCAGACCCAATCACCGCATCATTCACCTTATGTGGATTTTCTTGTCTCCCGTTTGTGGAAAAGTGGTATTTTGCTGGTGCAGCTAGACACCTTTTTTCACCACCTGCCAATCGGATGTTAAAACAGACTAAGCGCTAAATCACACCTCAAACTGCACCTTTCGTGCTGTGAAACATGAAGTGTGCAATGCATTGAAAAAACCTGTCGATTAAGTTAATTGTCTGCTAGGACAGTGTTACTTGCTCACATTTTTGAGCCCAACGTTTGACAATAAAAGAAAGAAAGTTGTAGTGCTACTAAGTAGTAGCATTCACAAGGTCCCGGTGGGCATTTAGGAGGAGGGGGAAGGGATGAGAGGGAGGTAGAGGTACTCATTTAATCGACCCTCCGTGGAAGGGAGAATAAATTTAATTCTAATTGCTTCTACAATTTATGCTTATACCCACAAATGCTTCCAAATTAAATTCTAAAGTCGACTAAAACACCTCAAAGACGGCAATGCAACCGACAGCTGTGGCAGCTGGACATCCACTTAAAGGACAAATGGAAATGCGAATTAAGAAGGACTTAAATATATTTGAAGCTCAACACATGAGGCTGAGTGAAGAAGTGAGAAGTTGATTTATCTACTCCCAGTGATAAGATCAAATAAAAGAATGGCAGCTAGTGCAACTGAAAGCGACATTCCAATTGTGGCAATGAAGGGTGACCACATCCCCATGTGATCCAAATAGTGGAACACACCAGCAATTGCCAAGATTGCCGCCACAGTAGCAATGACAGCAGCTGCGATCTCACTCCAACTGGTTTCGGC